TGGCTTGATGCACAATGGGTGAGCGAACTCACTTCAGGTTCGGTATCAACAGGATAATTTAGTTGGGTCTCTGGTGCTTAGCCTTCATACTAATAAAAATGCCTAAAATTTACTTTGCCCTTACTATATGCATCATCACACATTTAGGCACATGTTCAATACCTTTTATATTTAAATCTTACTCAATGCAGTCGTTCCAACTGCAGATCAACTCAAATGAAAATGTTGAGCCTCAAACATACTAACAACTTGCCCAGTGTCACACCAATAATAAACACAACAGATAAGATTCAAATTAAATGAGGTATCTCTGGGGACCAGGATCTGAAACTACTCTTTGTTTAAAAATGAGAGTTTAAGCAGATATACAGAAACCTTTTCCAAACTTCCTAGGTTATAGCTTTTAATTGTTTCCTGAGTAAGAATGGAACCCAACACTTTGACTTTATGTCTCTCTTAGATCAAGAGGGAGTAAATTACAACAATGAAGGAGGAAGTGGAACAATTAAAGCAAAATCTGGGAGCAGGAACAAGAATGATCTTCCCAGAATTAGCATGTGTCAACAATTTCTGTGATTTCTGTACATAATGTCAGCCATACTTAGTATAGCTCATGAGCCAGGGAAACCCACTCTTTTCACTGGTGGTCTACCAGAAATCCAAAGAAAAGAGCACCGGTGAGTGGGGGCCTCTGCCTGTAAAGAAAGGAAGAGAAATGCCAAGTTGAGTTGGCGGGAGAGAATATTGTCTAGGTGCCCTATGAGTGAAGTCTCACTGTCTGAATTAAAACATGACATCAGCCCTTTTGATTGCAAGACCTTTTTTATGTAAAATTATGTAAACTTTTATGTAAAAATTACATAAAATGCTGTACTCTTATCCTCAACTGTAAAGTGATAATAATGTTTGTTTCCCTGTTTTGGGGGTAGTAATGCAGTTTTATCTGTGCGTTGAGCTCTCAAGTCCATAGAGCTTAGCTTACTACCTGGCACACAGAATCGCTAAGTAAAGGTTTCTAATATAGTGATACTATCATTTTCTTCAGTATAATCTTTATCACCTTCCTGATCCCTGATCAGTGCTTTGTGAACAGTTTATTGGGACTCATTCCTGCTGTCATGGGGAGCATGTCATACCTACAATTGTAGAACCACTGTGGGAGAAAAGCATAACTTTGAATGACAGTTTTTGGATCCCCACTAGAACCAAAAACAAACTATGCAGGGCTCTGAGCTGAAACTTTGCATAGCAGTGCCCTCCCATCTGTTTGTCCCAACTCTTCTGTTTGTCCTACTGATGAAAAAAAATGCTCTTGACAATCACTTCTCCATCCACCATCTCTATGGTATTCACGTGACTGTTTGGTGTCTCTGCTGGAGTATGACCAAGGAATGAGAATCCACTGAACATCTCCTGCATGGCAAGCAATAAAGGTTCACACTCTGTCCTCAGGACTGGCAGAGAGACAGAGTTATTCATGGGCCTCTTGATGCAGACGGTGATTCTGATGTGAACCCCGCTGGACTGGGACCAGGGTTCTGAAGGGCTGGAGGCACAGGCTGATTATTTACTCTTCTATGTCCTTGATAGCTCAATGCACAGAGCTCATAATTAGCAAAACTTGCCCATGATATCCCATTCTCTGAGGACTTGCTATTATTATTGGAAGAGGAAAAGGGAAAAGAGAATGTATTTGAAGAGTTCTCTTTTCAGGAGGAAGCTTACCCATACTCCTCACTTCTGATTTCCAAGTTGCAGGGATTTTATAAATTCAGATGATTTTTTTCAATCAAAAAAAGCAATGTGTGACTTGTTTGTCTGCAAATTCATTGAGTTCATCATGCTATGTTGGGAGAATTATGTCTTCTTTACCAAGAATCTAATGTAATTTCCATTTTCTTAATTAAAATTTATGTCTCTAAGGAGAATTTCCTATGTTTCTTTCTATATTCCTTGGGGTTTTATGTTTAAAGGTGTATGTTTTTGCTATTTTGAATGACAGCCAAAGTTTTAATTTTTCTGTAAAATGTATGTATGTCGGTACATTAAATAACCATTTTGACATACTTATTAAATTGACAATTTGCTTAAATACTACAGGGGATTTCAAAGATGTCTGCATTTTAAATATGGGCTGCTGTCATCTCAACACTGGACTAGAAGAGGATCTGATTCCAAGGTCACTCATGTGGCAATGGCAGCATTCAGGTCTTTGTGTGCTGTTGGCCATAGGCATCTCTCAGTTTCTTGCTATATGGGCTTCTCCATTGGGCAGCTGACAACATGGCAGCTATCTTCCACCAGCATGAGCTAGTGAGAGAGTAGAAGGCGGCTGACAAGTTGAAAACCTGAGTCTATTTACACATTAATGTTAAGGTGATATACCAATATTTTTGATAGTTTGTTCCTTGGATGCAAGCCACAATGTCCAGCCCAATTAGAGATGGGTATATACAAGTGCACAAATAATAGGAGGCAGGAGATATTGGGAACATCTGAGAAGCAGCCCACCACAAAAACCTGACCCTCTATCAGGGATTTGAGCTGTAAGCACAAGATTCTATAGATGTCTCTCTACTTTCCAGCATAGTCCCCAAATCTTCACATCATCATCTTCTCAATAAACCTTTACTGGAGAAGGACAGGCACATGGAAAAACTTGCTCTGCTTTAGGTATTTCTGCCAACCCTCCACCCTCCCATGCTGCTCCTGGCCATGTCATAAGGAGTCTCCCTAGTTTCTCTTATATCAACAGAGTCCTTTCATCTTTGCCAGGAGAAGTCACAGCCATTTCTGCACCAATACAATAAGCAACTCTAGAAGCTTCTGATTTATGCTCAACTAGTAAGGGCTCATCTCCCTCCAAATATGTTTTCTTTAGAATCTTTGTATTTGAACTCTTGATGTCTTTTTTAAAATGTTATTTTGGATTACGTAGTGAGGTAAAGTGGAATGTATGGGAATCATGATTTGTGGCAGCCTCTATATCTTATCTTTGACATCCTATTGGGTCAGATTTCTTTGTATGAGGAGCTCAGAGATTGAGTTCTCATTAACTGATAGGAAGAAAGCTTGAGTATTTACCCGGTTAACTTGGATATGGGAGAAAGTATACTAATTACGCGTGTGTGCATCAATGTCAGGGGAAAGTTTTAGGGAGCCCAAATGACCAAATGGCAGGAGTATAGAGAAGGATTAGAGAAGGAAGTTTGAGTGTTGAGACATTTTGTATGTTTGGGTGGGAAGATAAATCAAAAATACAACTGTAGGAATTTCATAATGGGAAGAGCCAATCAAGTCATAGGATCATTGTCAGTGAAGTTGTTAGGCAATTTAGCTTAGCAGCAAAAGGCAGAGTAAATTAAACCAGTTATTGGATGGCTTTTCAGAAAGCCAAGATTGCTACCTCAGAAACTATGTGTAGCATTTCTAAAGGAAAGATTGATATGTACTTAGGTACCTGGGTATGTAGCAGAAAAGAGAAGGAGCCCATGACACATTGATCATGAGAGAAGGCAAGAAAGCATGTTTACAAAGTGGAATCCAAAAGAGCCTGTTCCTGGTGAAAGGAAAGATCTCCCCTTTGCTGAGCACATTGTCCTTTGCCACCCTTGAGTAATGAAAATGAAGATATAGTTAAATTTATTCATAATGACTTGGGTGACAATGATCTACAGGCACAATGAGAACCACACAGCCACTAGAAATATCATACCACTACTTTAAGTATCAATTGTATACCCTTGACCAAGACATAATCGTTACAATCACTTTCTTGTCACAAGCTCACTTTGCAATCTTCCAATTGCATCTCACAATGTAGCTTTATGATTTATCAGCCAGGGTTCAACCAAGAAAAGAGAAACCACACTAGTTATTTTAGTGAAGATAATTTAAGTATTGCTAAATAGTTATTAAAACATGAAAAGCATAAAAGAAAAATTATTGTAATATAGAGTCAGAGCTGTAGGATGTAGAGAAAATATGATGGGCTAAGGGGTATATGGAAAAGGTTGGGCATTAGTGTGTGTGACCTTTGCTGACTGTAACTGGAAGAATCTAAAGGGAAGCCAGAAGGAACATCTGAGCTTTGGTTTATAGATTCCCAGCCCACTCCCACTGTCACCCCTCACACAGAATCATAAATTAGATTACAGAAGGCTAGTTTTGGAGAAGAAAACAATAGCTTAATACCCAATATATAGGACCAGCTCTAGCATGTGGAGGGAGGAAATAGGTGAAAAAATATTACCAGGAACATGAGAAAAAAATCACATTGCCTGTTACTAGGGCAAATTCTTTCAAGTCTTCTCCTTTATGAACTCTGATCACTTTAAGATCTTCAGGACCTGGTCATGAACAGTAAAGGACCCAAGACATATCATTTATTTTTGAATAAAAGAGCTGACAAAATTTAACAGATCTCCACATTGGCTGCATATTAGACTCACCTGAGGAGCTGTTAAAACCATTCACACTCTTTTCACTCTGCAGTCTAATTAAATCTTAAACTATGGTTGTGGGAATCCGGCATGAGGATTTTTAAGTCTCATCAGATGCTTCCAGTATGAGGCCAAGCTTGGGGACCAGTGACACACATTCTCTCACACAATCTGTATCAATAGGTTTGATTGAAGTCAAAGTTTTATGGAAAATAGACATGGAAAGTGCAAATGGTTGAGAACTGTATATATATTAAAAGAGAGAGTTCTGAATTTCCACAGGATGCCTAGGTCATAGGCGACAAACACAGAAGATTCCAAAGATGTAATAGGATTCAATTGTGCACTGATTCTGACACATGTGGGACCCCAGAGTACCCCCTTAATCCCATCAAATATATGCCCAAAAAAGCAATTTTCAGATATGATAAATCAAGACAAATGATTACCATGAGCTACAAAAACTATGTGACCAAAGATGCGTGTTTGCCAATTCTAGATGTTTAGTTTTGCAATTATTTCTAATCCACAGAACAAAAACTGGCACAAGTATTGAGACTAGGCTGTTCTGTTGAGGAGCCTCTGCATGGCCTTCTTGATGTCCCTGTTCCTCAGGCTGTAAATGAAGGGGTTCAGCATGGGAGTGACTGCAGTGTACATCACTGAGGCCACCACATCCTTCCTGGGGGAAAGTGAAACAGGAGAACTGAGGTACACCCCAAAGCCAGTTCCATAAAACAAGCTAACAGCTGACAGATGAGAGCCACAGGTGGAGAAGGCTTTGTACTTCCCGCCTGTTGATGGGACTCTCAGAATGGAGGAAATAATTCGAATATAAGAGAAAAGGATCCCTGAGATGGGAATACCACCAAAGATGGCAGCAATGAAATAGATTAATATTTCATTAGTGGAGGTATTGTCACAGGCAAGCCTGAGGAGTTGAGGAGGATCACAGAAGAAATGAGGAACTTCCACATTCTTGCAAAACGTAAGTTGTGATATCATTAAGCAGTGCAGCTGGGAGTCCAAAAGACTGATCAAAAAAGACATCAGAACCAGGAAGCTGCAGAGGCGTGGGTTCATGATGACCAGGTAGTGCAGGGGATAACAAATAGCTACAAATCGATCATAGGCCATCAGAGTTAAGAGTAAACTGTCCAAACATCCAAAAAAGTAAAAAAAAGACAACTGAATCAAGCAGCCCACATAGGAGATGACTCTGCTATGAGTTAGAATGTCCAAAATCATCTTTGGGACCGTAGTAGTAGCAAAACCGATGTCAGCCACAGATAGGATGCAAAGGAAGAAGTACATGGGAGTGTGGAGGTGGGAGTCAGAGCTGACAGCCAGGATGATCAGCAGAGTCCCCAGCACAGTGACCAGGTACATTGACAGGAACAGGCCAAAGATTAGAGGTTGCAGCTCTGGATCATCTGAGAGCCCAAGCAGAAGGAATTCCAAGGCATCTGTTAGATTCTGGGATTCCACATAGCAGAGACACCTTTTGGAAAATAAAAGAGAGTCGATATAAAGGAAAGAAGTATACAGGTACCCATAAGAGTGTCTATATTTTGGATCCAATCAATTCATATATAAAGTATTCATGCTTGAGGATCATACCCTTTTAGCAATATTTCTCGGTGTGGCAAACACAGTCTTCTTAGAACTCTGTTCTCATTGGCTTTTGCTCCATTCACCTGTTTCTATGTGCATCCACTTTGGAAAGACTAGGCTAAAAATTTAGAGGCACGAGGATACTTAGAGATTTTAAAAATCCATAGTCATACTAACATAGCAGTTCCCTTCTTTGATGGAAACAAAAGGAATAAGAAATACAGTCTCCTTTAGAGAAAAAATTATTGTAATTAAAGGACATTAATAAGCACTCAAATGTGCTTTATTTTATTCAAATGCAGGGCAATTAATATCCTTGATTTGGACTATTTATAAACACTCTGTAAGAATGAGGTAAGTGCCTGACTCCATTTTTTCAGTATGATGTTTGGGTGCTAAAGGTTTTTAAATCATGCCTTTCTCTTGCCTCTGCCCAGTAACTGGGCTAGCTGATAAAAAAGACTGGGTCCTCCAGTGATTAAATAAGCCCTAGGGATGTAACGTACACTATGGTGACTATAGTAACAATACCGTATTGCACATTTGAAAGTAGCTAAGAGAGTAGATCTTAAAAGTTCTCAGCACAGGGGAAAAAATTGGTAACTATATATGGTGACGGATGTTAACTAGACTTATTGCGGTGATCACTTCACAATATGCAAAAATACTGAATCATTGTGTTGTATACCTGAAACTAATATAATATTATATGTTAATTACACCTTAATTGAAAAACAAAGAAAGCCTGGATCTGTCCTCCTTTGGCAACAGGGAGAGATTCAAACCTCACAGGCCCATGCACAGAGGCAGGAAATCTCACTGTGAACCTACACCATAGCTACAATAAAAAAAAAAACCGTCGCCAGCCACTTTCTTTGAACTCTTCTGTCATTTCAGACCACTTTAGGCCTGCTGTGCTCTGTCCAGACAGGGAAATCTTTATACAAGGAATAAAACTTTTTATACCCTCTTGTGTGTATGCTGTTATCAGTCTCAACATCCAAGCCAAATTGGGATGTCCATGGAAGCGGAGGCCCACCCTATTTCTGCAGAGTGTCCACTACACTTGATGCAGCAAGTGGGGCACAGAGACAATGACCACCACCCTGAGAGGTCTTTCTTCTCTTGCTCTGGCTGGCTCCCTTGCTCTGCTCTCTGATGACAAGGATGCACTTTGAGATGCTGCCTCCTAGAAGCTTGCACTTTGGACTGTGCTGCATTTGTTGAGTCCTTCCCATTGAAACCAAGAATTAAGGGGTTAAATTTTCTCTGGGCCAGAAAAAGAGAGAAAAAAAATTTGAAATAATCTTTGCTAACTGCATCTGGGCATACTCAGCATAAACAAGTGTTTTTTAAAACTAACCAGGTCTTTCTTTCTCTCCTTCGTATATGAATGAGCTGTTTTTCTCAGGAAATCAAGGTCCAAACATCAAGAAGAATGGACATTCAGCCTCACAATGCCAAAAGCAGGCTGAGGATGGAAAGTAACCAGAAAAGTCCAGACACTCAAGGAAAAAGTGGTTTCATCCTCAAGGCCAAATGCAGGCTGGTGGAAAGGTTCCAACCAGCAAGGATACATTCTCCCCCTCCTCTACCTAAAACCCAAGCACATGCTCCCCCTCCTGTACCTAAAAGCCCAAATAAGAACCCCTACCTTTTTCCCTTCAAGGAGGCATATTTGAGTTTTAACTCCCATCCCCTCATCTGGTTGGCTTTTGATAACAAATCTCTTTCCTTGCCACAAGTATGATATTTCAGTGATTTGAGTTTCCTGTGCATCAGGTAACAAACCTGTGTTTGTATTTGGTAACACAATCTTCCCTTATAGACACAATTTACCTAATTTAGATGTTTCAATAATTACTTGGCTATTAGAGATGAGAGTATGGGGTTGAGTCCTTCCTTAATGTAGCCCTAGGTCTTGTGTCGCAGGTCAGATCGATCTATCTGAATGTCCTAGAACGAAGCTGTGACTAACACTAGGGCCAGGGGAAAAAGTCTTACCCTGATTGGTTGTGTGTTTAAACCAGGCATTGGCCTTGTGGATGGAAAGGATATATCCTGAGCAAGATATAGTTCCACTGATTGGTTGCTGATGAAAGAGTGGTCTTTAGGGAATTAGGAGAGAGAGAGAGATAGGCAAAGAAAGAGAGAATGAAGAAGAAAAACAAGAAGAAGAAAAAGAAGAGGAAGAAGAATAAAAAGAGGAGAAGGAGGCAGAGGAAAAGGAGGAAGAGGAAGAAGAGGAGGAGGAAGAGGGAAGAGGAGAAGAAGAAGGAGGAGGGGGGAGGGGAGAGGGAAGGAGGAGGAGAAGGGGAAGTAAAGGAGAAGGGGAAGGAGGGGAAGAAGAGAAATAAAATATCTGGACATGAGGGGGGAAATTGAAACAGAAGTATACAATCTGACCCCATTGGAAGTCTAACATTTATTAAAAGAATTTATAGAACAAAAAATGAAATGGCGCCAATTAGCTTTGGCATCTCTTCAATGTAGGTTCTGAATTAGCTTTAATATTGGCTGAAAGCACCAAAGGGCAAAACTTTGTGTCGTCAATGAAAACAGGGGCTCAGATCACAGCTGTGGATCCCACTAAATTTGAATAAAATACTCTCTATAATCTTAGGGAGGTTCTTCAACATAAAATTAGAGGCCAAAGAGTATGCCTCGCCTTCACCATTGGAACTATTATCTTGTCTGAATTCCCCATTGCAATAGCACCCATTGACCTCAAAAATCCTAGAATGGACATGGACATTCTGACTAAATTAAAATTAAATTAAGCCTTTGGCACTGTATAGAAAAGACCTAAGCAGTTTTTCACATCCTGTTCTGTCTCCTTTACTCCCTCACAGAACTATTCACTTCTGACACTTCTGGTCACTAAATGAGGGGAAATCTCTTCACACCAGCTGTATGTCTGACAATTTATTTCAATTCTGACACTATTTGCCTATAGTGTCAGATCCCACAGATTAAAGGGTCAGTCCCCCAACACTGCTCCCACTTCAGATGTCAATCACAAGTGGTAGGTCCCCAGGTTACGCAAAACTTCTGTTCAACTTGGCGACAAATTAGAGGTTCCCACAACCTCCTCCTCAGGTTCGATTAATTTGTCACTCTGGGAAGAGTGCTTGAAGAGAAATGACCAATCTTATTCATTTATTTAGTTATACAACATCCCTGGAAGGGATCAAAGCCCAGGCAGGAAAGCCCCCAGTGTGTGGAAGCCATATGCTGTGTTCCTGTGAAATAACAAATGGTAACCAATATTTAAAAGAGATTTTTAATAGATACATATTTTGTTTTTATTGCCTAGTCTGTGCCAACCACAGTGGAGGTGTTGGGAAATCAGAAATTAATGAGACTGAGGCATTTCTCTGCAAGCATTCTGTCTGGAGTGACCTGGACAGATAAAGAAAAGTTTGAATAAATTGGTTTGGTTTTTTTCTTAATTTTAACATTTTATTTAACCAACTATACAAAAAATAATATAATTTCACCAATATACAAAATTGAGATGTTTTACATTTTTTGGTACTTCTTCAAATTCTGGTATTCCATACTGACAGCGTATATAAATTTGGACTAGACACATTTCAAGGGCTCAATAATGACATGAAACTAAATTTTAAGGAAAGACATTGTCCTGTGCCCTGTAAATGGAGTCTTGCTGCTTGGATCCCAACCTGACCCCACCCGTTTTTAACCCCAGGACATGGTTCAAATTAAATAAACATACTGTACTCCTCTCCTCAACTGTAAAATTATATGTGCACATATATCATGGAGGGTGATTATGGAGATGAAAATTAAAAACCCATACGCAGCACATAGCTTGGAGGCTGTCACAGGAAACCCTATGTAAAACTTCATAATATAATGGTTATTCTCCTTATCACCATCATGATCATAATCATCACATTCATGATCATTTTGGAGTGCTTAGGAGATGGTTTGGAGAAATCCATTTCCTGCTCCTGTGTGGGTGATGCTTATGGAAGCTAGACATGGTGGTGGAGGAGAGCCACATTTTAAATGACAGTTACAAAATCCCTAACAGAAAAGGAACATAAACTTCACTGGCCTCTGAGCTGAAACTCGCATATTCGTGCCCTCCCATCTGGTTATCTCAATTGTCTTGCTTGTTTTGATAGTGAGGAAACAAGATCCTCTATAATCTCACCTCCATCTACCATCTCCCTGGGCACTCACTGGTCTGTGCTGTATCTCTGCTGGGTCATGACTTAGGAGATTGGATCCACTGCCCTCTCCCGCCTGGTGAATGATGAGGGCTGAGACTCTGTTCTCAGGACTGGCGGGAAGATAGACTCAGGCATGAATCCCTCGATGGAGACAATGACTCTGAGAAGAGGAATGAAGCCTAGCTGGGGCTGCCACATTAAAAGGCTGGAGACACTGGCTAATTATTTAGTCCCATATGTCTTTGAGAACTTAATGCACAGAACTCGTAATTAATGAAATTGGTCCATGTTATCCCAATCTCTGAGGACTTCCTAATATTAACAAAAGACGAAAAGGAGAAAAGTGAATGTATTTACTTGAGTCTGGGCCCTTCCTCTTCTCAGAAGGAAGCTCATCTGTACACCTTGCTTGTGATTTCCAATTTCAAGGATCTTAACATAAACTCCAGACTCTTTTCTTTCTCAATTTAATTATGACTTTTGGAGTTTGACATCTGCAAATCCACTGTGTCCTTGATGTAAATTAGGGAGAATTAGGTTTCCTATAACAAGAATCTAAAACTATGTCCTTTTCCTCAGTTAAGACTTTTGTCTTGAAGAAAAATTTTCTATTTCCTTTTTTTAAGGCTTTTTTACTATGTAAATGATGGCCCAAGTGCTAGTTTGTCTCTTTCAGTGATGTATG